GGCGAAGGCCCCGATCCACACCGCGTTGGTGGGAAGAATCACAATCGATCTCCCGTACCTTTCTTTTCTTCCCTTTCCCTTCTCTTCCTTTATCTCTCTTTTAATTTTGCTGCAGAAGGGGGGGGGGGGGAGACAAGGGCCATTTGCACCCTCCCCGATCCCCAACTTGTTGGCGGGAAAACTGCAACTGATATCCCCCTTCTTTTCTTTCCTTCCCTTTATCTCCTCTTTTCCCTTATTTCTTTCCCTTCTCTTCCTTCTCTCTTTCTTTTTGCTGGGGGGGGGGGGGGGGCAACAGCCTGGGAGGCAAAGCCCTTTCGCCCCCCCCCCCCGATCTCCTTCTTTCCCCTTTTCTTTTCTCCTTCCTTTCCCTTTGTCTCTTCTTTCCCTTTCCCTTATTTTTCCTTCCTTCTTTCTCTCTCTCTCTCTCTCTCTCTCTCTCTTTTGCTGAGGGGGGGGGGAGGGGGTGGCGAAGGCCTATCGCCCCCGATCTCCTTCTTTTTCCCTTTTTCTTTTCTTCTTCCTCTTCTTCCTTTCCCTTACTCTCCGCTTTACCTTCTCTCTCTCTCTCTCTCTCTCTTCATTTTTTGTTGGCGGTTGGGGGGTCAAGGCCCTCTCGCCGCCCCCCCCCACCCCCTGGATCCGCGCCGGGAAGACCTGTAGTGTCATCCCTAGCTAGCTGGCAAAGCTGTATATGGCTTATCCAGTCGTTTCATTCATTAAGTATAATCATATTGTATTGACTATGTATACGTGTGTACTAGAGAACAGACATTCGGTGTGGCAGGCGGACTATTGGTGCAGGACCTCTTCCGCACAGATTGTCCGTCAGACATTTGAGGCGCGCACGAAATGTCCGACACGGACATTCTGCGCGGATAAAATCCGCACCGATCGTCCAATCTCGAATACTCGGACGATCGGTGCGGGTTACATTCTACGCGGTCACACCGCCATGCAGTCACTGTGACTTATTTCAGGGGAAGACCAAATCCTAAATAATTAATAACAAAATCAAGAAATAAACTATATGCATTGCTATTTAGCTTTGTTTTCGTCAAATATTTTCTAACTTGACTCGGACAAAGATATATATATATATATATAGAGAGAGAGAGAGAGAGACAGAGAGAGACAGAGACAGAGACAGAGACAGAGACAGAGACAGAGACAGAGTGAGAGAGAGAGAGGGGGGGGGGGGGTCAGGATAGCATACATATATATTAGAGAGAGAGAGAAAGAGAGAGAGAGAGAGAATTTCTGGTGAAATATGTCGAGGTTTCTCTAACCAGTCTAGGCTGTATGCTTATAATATTTGTCAACAATGTACTCACATTTCATTTTAAGAAAACTCGTAAAATTCATAACAGTAATAATACAATTCTTTTCGTTGGTTCCTAAGGCTGAAAGGCATGGTCCTATTTTTGTTAATAAAAGTGTATTTACTCGTAGTGGTATAAACCAAACCACGTGATATTTTAGACTTATACCTTTAAACTGTATATTTAGTCTTCAGCTCATGTTTATTGTGTTTTAGAAAGAAAACAAGTTGTATATCATGTCTATGTATTTCATTATCATATCTTACTTATTTTTTTTTATATATCTTTCTGTATTGTGTTGTAAATATGTTGTGCTCTCATATCTTATCTTATCTTATCTTATTTAATTTTTTTTTGTATTTAACGTTGAGTATTTTGACATTACAAGCCTAGATCATGTTATTATATATAATACTATAATGATATAATTATTTTCATCATAATTATTCAATCATCATTTATTAATTTCATTTCATTTCATTTCATTTCTTTATTATGTCCATAGAGGATAATAATATTGTTCATATTTACATTTACAATCTTGCTTCACAGTAATTTCACAGGAACAACATATAATTGACAATCATAAGTACTTAATTAAATACATGTGAATTGTAAACAAATACTTCATGTTTGTCTGAATGTTGTTTAACCTCGTTTCTTATTTAGTCTCAAGGCCATGTTTTTAGTATTTCACAGACGAGACATGAACAAAACACAGTCAAACATAACCAGGTGAGGGTCACATTTCCAAAATACATCCTGGTTTGATACACAGTCCAATGTCATATCACAAAAACATAAATTCTAGACAAAAAAACAAAACAAAACAGGAGCAAGAAGTCATGTAAATATTGGTCGCTACGGTGCCAGGGCCGTAGCCAGAGTTTGATGTTTACGGAGGCACATACATGACAATTGATCGACGTCCTGGGCGGGGTCCAAAAAAGTTCAACCGATCTTGTACGGTGCAGGTATTCTATTATCATATATTATTACAATTGTTATCTTATCATTTATCGCTGTAATTATTCTTTTATTTGTATTATATTATTGTATCATTTTATCATGTCAATACTTTAAAAAAAATATCACCATTATTATTTGTTATTGTTGTTATTGTTATAATTATTTTTTATCATTATCATAGATCAGGGATTGAACATGTTGATTTGATGATATTCAGTTACTGTAATTCTTTACTTCTGCTGAAAAGAAAATTACACTTTAGGCCTCAATTGTTCTTTATCATTGGGACATTTACCAACTTCCTTTCCGCGATGACAGAGAAAGTGAAAAAGTGGAAAAACTGAAAGCGATCTCGAGAGCTATAGTGTATGTATAGTGTATAATGTATAGATGTCCCATGGAGATAACGTTCGGTGGTAGTATTTGTAATTCGGGATTATCAACGTGCAACTTAATTATATATCAAAAGTTATATTTCATGCACATGAATTACTAGTCAGTGGCGTATTCAGACCGTGGCTGCCTCGATCCCTTATCTTTGTATTTTTAATTAATGACTTCTTTATATTCTCAGTATCATGGCCAGATTATGAATTTAGTATTATTTCATTGAACATATTTTCTAATTACAGGAGTTCTATTCGTAGGAATTGTTCAAGTCTTCATCATAAGTTGAAGAGAGATCATATTTCATCCTGTTTTGAACACAGGACGTCCAAGCGGACGGAAAAGCTACATGAAAAGGAAATAAAGATCATAATGGGTTGATAGAGACTTCCTTCAAACTCATTGTTTGTAATATAAGAACTAATACAGGTTCTTTGGCATGCAATCAAGAGATCAATCATAGTTGAGATGCTTTAGTCCAACACACTAAAGGTATTTTTCACATTTCCAATAACGGTGATCACCTGTTTGGACTTCTGGTAAGTATTTTCAATACATTCCATTTCATGACTTTGTGCTTTTTGATGTTGTGTGTTCTGTGCCATTCCTGAATGCATCAGTTCATCAGAGTTGTATTTTTTTATACTCGCATACATACTTACTCCAGGGAGATGCGTTGGGATTCTTGGGAATTGATAGTGTAGAGCATTGACAGTGTAGAGCAAAATTGATAGTGTAGAGAACTGATAAATGTCAAGTCAGATATATATTCTGAGGACTCTTGTTTGTTTATTAAGAATGTGCTTGTATGAATGTCAATGATGTTTTATTGATACTGTTCAATTCACAAAACATATTCCATATTAACAAGACAAGAAATCTTTTGCATAATAATGGATTTAAGTATACAAATCAGTAACTTGACACGTCCGTTAATGAAGTATAATAAACATGGTCATCAGGTCAACAATAATTGCAGTAAAAAGTAAAACTAATCAACAAAAAAAAAAAGTGGAAGCACAATATTCCATATTCTATGGTGAAATGAGAGGAAGGGGTGGAGGGTGGAAATATTAATTAGCTAATGTATGACTGCACAACGTACATTGTGTTGATCACCCCCTTAAAATCTATGGCCTAAATTTGTTCAAAAGCATTGGTGAATTGACAAAATGGCGAAGGGGGTGGGGTAAAGACTATCAAAAGAAAAGCAAATTCCCAGTTTCTAAATTGAGAGTGAGTGGGTAAGGTGTAGGTCCCATTCCCGATTCAACAATATTAATACTCGAGTCGTGTGTATGCTTGCTGGTTCGTACCACTCCCCCTCCTCCTCCATATGCCACCGGGCCGGGGGGGGGGGGGGTCGTAAACCTATGCCCTCGGTATGTACTTCGGGTTCTTGCATCATTGAAAATAATTTGATATACATTACTTTTTTTTTATCGCTTATCCCTTTCATTTACAACAGGTAGAAAATAGGCATTTGATAATCAGGAAACGATTCAAGAAAACGAGTGATGTCATCACCTTGAGTCATGTTTGAAGCAAGGATGTTACTTGTTCTTTTACACCTGATCGCCAGCGCTGCATCATTGGCGGTCGCGGATGGTGGATCTATTGTTAGTCCCAGGCATTCATCACAATGTCGGTTGTCTCACATCAGCGATGGATTGGTCGCAGATTGCTCCGATTTGGGGTTAAAGAGCATTCCTCTTGATATTCCAGATGTCGTAACAGAACTGGTCATTGCGAACAATGAAATACAACATCTAAACCGATCTTCATTTTGGCATCTCCCGCACCTACGGAAACTGAACTTGTATCAGAACGGTTTGGGTTCAATCCAAGAAGAGACATTCGATTACTTGCTGTCGCTTCAAGAACTTTCACTGTCTCGAAACAGCTTAGTAGAACTACCCGTCGATTTGTTTCACAAGAACCAAGATCTGGAAATTGTAGATTTCACCCAAAACCTCTTTTCCTCTGTTCCTATTCTGGCACTTCGTGGCGCAACCCGCTTGAAACGCGTAATACTGAGATATAACAAGATTAGAATGGTCAACTTTACAGGGTTTAAAAGCCCGGAAGTTGAAACCATTGACTTATCAACGAACAACATCACAGCTCTCCATTTGGACCAGTTCTCACCATTTAAAAACACCAACATCGAATTGTTTCGTATCCCTTATAATAAATTGATTTCACTTCCAAACTTTGTTTTTGGTCACCTTCGGTTGACTAAGAATCTTGAACTCTCTAATAACCTCTTACAAAATTTCAGCATATATCCTTTCCTCGGTATGGAATCCCTAGGATATTTGGATGTATCATCGAATGAAGTTGAAACCATATACCCCTTCATTAACACCACTCCACGTGCGGATCTACCCCCCTTGGAAAAAACTTATTCTCTCAGGTACCAACATGTTTGCTCTACCATCGATGGCCTTTGTCGGGATGGGTTATTTAAGATCGCTTGATCTTGGTAAAGGAAAGTTGAAATCTATTGAGAATGATTCCTTCGCGGGTATGACGGCCCTAGAGTTTCTTGATTTGAGTTCAAATCGACTGACTACAGTGAGAAGAGAAATATTCGAACCCTTGACCCGAATCCAGAAGATCATCCTAGCCAAAAACAAATTCTTATACCTTCCAACGACATCATTCCAGGGGCTTAGATCACTTCAAGTCTTGGATTTTACCAGCAATCGAATCAACAAAATCGGAGTCACGTGGGACATTCCTTCTCTGCAGACTCTGGATCTTACAAGCAACAGACTTTTCCGTATTGCCGATGCAGCCTTCTACGGCCTGCCAAATTTAACGGAGTTAGCAATATCTTTGAATCCCATCAATACTATAAAAAATAATGCCTTTATAGGTATAGAAAACTTGCAAACGCTGACTCTGCAAACACTTGACCACGTTGGGAGTGGTGGGGGTCGACCTTTTCGGAATCTCACCCACTTGATAACCCTCGATCTCTCTGGATCAAACATGAACCCCAATACTGTCTTTTTTAAAGGTCTGACATTTCTGAAGATGCTGAAGCTTCGAAAGACCTCACTGACACCAAGTAAACTCTGGAACAATCTACGAAACGTTTCAGTTCTTGACACATTAGTCGGACTGGAGTATCTATCACTGAGCTCAAACAGTTTGAACGGTTTAATACCACGGACATTTCAGAATCTGACTTCATTAACCAGACTACTCCTGGAGAAATGTGGAATTATCGAGCTACCCGTAGGTTTATTAAAAAACCTTGCATCTCTTAGGTATCTTTACCTTACGCACAACAATATCAAAGTCTTGTCTGCCTCTCATTTCTTCGGATTACAATCCCTAGGAACAGTTCTATTTGACAATAATGCCATCAAGGAACTCGAAGTGGATCTTTTCAAGCATACTCCTAAAATATCTTACGTGTACTTTCCACACAATCTCATATCAGTTGTTCAAAGGGGAACAATCCTACCCACGGTGATGCTTGATCTCTCGAACAACCCACTGTCTTGCGTTTGTGATCTTCAGTGGTTTCTGTCGTACTTAGATACCAATATTCTCATCTTGGTGAATCCAAATAACACGATCTGTTCTCCTACCTCCATTCAAAGGTTTATCGGCAAGCGGCTTCTCAGCTCTCGACCAGACAGCCACGACTGTGGCCCAAACATCATCCTCTTGGCTTTCATCCCATTTATCGTTTTAGGGCTTATCTTCGTCGTAGCAGTCACCTATTACTATCGCTGGAAGATCAACTACAAATTCTTTTATTTGAAACTAGCCGTGCTTGGTTTCATTGAGTTCGAAGATGCCCGTGAGCATCAGGATTTTCGGCACGACCTCAACGTCATCTACCATGATGATGATGAAGAATGGGTCGAGCGCGTCTTCCAACCCGGCATCGACAACGCTTTACCGGAGTTTCAGAGGATTGCATACGGTGACCGGGATCTGGTCATCGGGATGTTCTACATGGACGCTGTCATCGATTTGGTGGAGAACAGTTTTAAAGTGGCCTTCATCGTTAGTAACACAGCCATTCGTGATCATTCCTTCATTAACAAATTTCACATGGCTGTCGATCACATGAACGAGGTCGGATTCGAAAAACTTGTGCTGGTTTTCGTTGAGGATATTCCCGACAACCACCTGCCGTATCTCATGAGGCTTTTCCTCAGCAAGAACAAACCATATTTCCTGTGGACTGAAAACAGAGACTGGCAGATTTTCTTCTGGGCCAAGTTTGCGAAATTGATGAAGGCAAACAAGCAAATAAATGACACTCTTCCAACTTAGAAGAAACCAGTATTGATTGTTATAAGTGTAGCCCAATTGTCTCTTCCATATTTGAATGGAATGAGCTAGATAATTCGTTGAGAACGGCTTCCTCTGTCAATTCATTTAAGAGATTGTTTAAACAAAGTTGTAATTTGTGAATGGCTCAGCCGAACATACACTACGTGCATGTTCTGTAATATTAACATGACTTATTCGCATAATTGCGACTTAATCAATATTTTCCAATTAACATTAATGTTTACTAGGTTAATGATATATGTTTATTTTGCAAACGATTATTATTTGTTTAACTGTTCTGTATAGACGTTATAAACGATGTAAATATGTTCATTTTTATTCAGGGCCCCATGGAAGACCACTACTTGTTGGTGAATGGGCTACCCTTTCAAAAGATTAGAAATAAATAAATAAAATAAATAAATAAAAGTATGGAACCAGGCAGCGTATTAGCATGATTTGACGAAGGTATTTATGAACGGGTCAACAAAGTTCGCGCACATTTAAGAACAAAAATAGGAATGTGATATACGATCTATAATTAGATAAATTACAGCAAAAATAGACAGTAAACTTTAGACTACAAATTGATGCAACTAGAAAATTTATCGACAAAAGAATTCCAGAGACATCGCGATTTCATCCATGCATCATTCGATGTTCTGGACCGGCAATCGCTGTAAAGAGTCGTTACCTCTAGTGCACGAGAGTTTACAGCTGATTTATAATTGATATATAAATTAATAAATAAAGAGGCGATCGCATCAATTACAAGTGAAAGTATCATTACAAGCAGTTGGTATAATATTTTACTTATAATTTGAAGGACATCTTCCTTCAAACAAAACATTTCTAGACCCTTGTCGGTAAGTTCATTCAGGGAACGAACTCAAAAGATTGTCATCTTTTCACACTAATTTCCAAAGAGAATTTTGTGCCTAGATAATTTTAGGTTCCTCTTTCTATTGGTGGTGTAAGATTTTCGCAATCTGTTGAGATCTAGAACTGTGGGTGAAGTTAGACCATGCTTGAAAGATGGTCACATCTATTGGACATACTATTTAAAATTCGCTTCAGTGAAGTGTATTCCACACTTTTTTTTCTCTCAAAACGTTCTAGTCTTGGGGCCTTCGGGCAATATAAAACGAAATGAAAATAAAGATATGAAAAATAATTTGTTGGACCAATATGAAATATATAACTACACATCCTGATATATATTAGCTCAAATGCATTCTTTGTAACTATGTTAACTGTTATCCGTTATGTGATTTTAGATATCCATTACTTCATTTTACACGGATACTGCTTCAGCCCTAACAGATGGTGTTTTTCTTCTTCATAGACTCCATGGAACATGTTTATCATGTTATGTATTATTATTTATTTGTTAAGAAAAGAAAATATATAAGCATCAAGGATGTTGGATTATATTATATACAATTTAATACGATACAATACCAAAACCACCGACTTGATTTCCCTTCCTCCACCCTTTCCTTCCTTCGTTTTGATCATTTTAGGTAAAGAAACAGTGAAATGTTTAATAAACCTCTTTCCATTATCTTTCCCTTTCCTTTTCTTTCTGCATAATCACTCTAAACGCCCGATAAGCGAGTTCTTTTAACGAAAGAGTAATCAATATATTCGGTTAGGCAAGTACATGGTGTCACCGAAAGCCTTCACTCGTAACATAGCATATTCATTCTTATTTTTTCTACTGAATAGGCCTACATAAGGGCCATATATTCAAGTCTTCCATGAAATGAAAATAATAACACAATATATAATCATTTCTCAATGTACAGCATGGTCGTAATTATGATTAAAGTAAGAACTTTGGCAGCAAGAACCCTTGATGAATGGTGCATTTATTTAGCAGTATGACGACCACTTCGCGAATCTGGTTCACTTTTGGAATTCGAAGAAAAGGACCCCCCCCCCCCACAAAAAAAAAATAGTCTTGCATGCGAAGGTTTCTGGTTTAAAACTAATCTCGTTTAAGTTGTAGTCACTGAGAAACACAGTGTATATTAGGTACCTTAATTTGTTATTATTAATTGCTCTTGTTCACACAGATTTTCCAAGTTAACCCACTGGTAAAAATTCCACTTGGTTATGGAGTGCCAAGTATGGAGCTCTTTATTCTGTACACATTTCTGTATCAAAATTGATTTATTGTTTGATGTTTATTTGATTTCTATAGAATCATTACAAATATATGAGTTTTTAACATTGGTACATAAAAGTAAACATAGAAAATAAACCCAGTTATGAAGTAAAAAAAAGAGAAATGTTTGGACGATCACATGTTGTATGTTCGACAGAATCATGGTATCTTTAATAGGATGAGGAGTTGACTCTCGATGATTTATAAAATCTTTTAGGACAGGCATTTTAAGGGCTTAATTGATCACATATTGTTCTTCAAATTGGCAGCAGTGATATTTTCTTTTTAATGCTAACACTGTTGTAAGTAAATTGCATAATGCCTCTGAAAACAATATACATGGGTGATAATGAATGGCAATGTTGACCGAGAGGTCGACAGGGGGGTCGCCAAAGGGGGGGGGGGGGGGGTGTGGGTGCGACACCCCTCCCCCCCCCCCACTGGTCAGGATATTGTCGGTAAAATTGCGCTGCCGTCGGGAAAAAAAGGGAGGGAAAGGGAAAGAAAAGAAAAAAAGAAAAGGAAAATAAAAGAAAGAAAGAAAAAGAAAGGAAAGAAAGGAAAGAAAAGAGAAGAAAGAAAGAGAGAAAAAAAAGAGGGAGGAGAGGAAAGAAAGAAAGGAAAAGAAAGAAAAGAAAGAAAAGGAAAAAAAAGAAAAAAGAGAAAAGGGAAACAAAAGAAGCGGGGGATGAATGAGAGGAGAGAGAGAGGGGAGGTAAGAGCCTGAGAAAAAAGGAGTGAGAGTAAAAGAGAGAGAGAGAGAGAGGGGGGGGGGGGGTTGTTGGGTGGAGTCGTCTCGTCGAGGGAGCAAGAAAGACACGGGTACATAATGTGTGTCGGGTCAGCTGTGTCGGTATTTTTGCTCGATCCTCGTGTACTATATCAATGCAGAAGTTTGAAGTCGGTGACATGTATATTGTCGGTCGGCCGACAAGTTTTTTTTTCCCTACGAACTGTGGCTTTTTATCCGCTGTGACGACTTCGAGGGTGACTACAACTACAATACTTGTATTTTCTCGAAGTTTCACTTTCCTATAATATGAGCTAAAGGAATCAGAGGTTTAAAATTTCGGGGAAACTAAATTCACACAAGTATTAAGAGTCAACAACGGTACGATGAATCGTCTTCTTTTCTCTATAAATTATGTTGATGAAACGCCAAAAAGCGGGAGTGGAAAAATTCATTTAGAAGAGTCGCGAACGGTACAACGAATCGTCTGCTTTCTATAATAATTTAAGGAAACGTCAAAGCTTCCGCGCTTCGTGCGAGAGGGGGAAACTGAATTCAGATAAATAGGGCTTAATAAAAGTCGAAAACGGTGCAACGAATCGTCTTCTTTCTATAATAATTAAATCAAACGTCTAAGCTTTTCGCGCTTCGCGCGGGAAGGGGGAAACTGAATTCAGATAAATAGGGCTTAATAAAAGTCGAAAACGGTACAACGAACCGTTTGCTTTCTTTAATAATTTAAGGAAACGTCTAAGCTTTTTCGCGCTTCGCGCGGGAAGGGGGAATTGAATTCAGACAAGGATTAAGAGTCGAAAACAGTACACCCAATCGTCTGCTTTCTCTAATAATTTAAGGAAACGTCAAGGCTTCCGCGCTTCGCGCGAGAGGGGGAAACTGAATTCAGATAAATAGGGCTTATTAAGAGTCGAAAACGGTACAACGAATCGTCTGCTTTCTCTAATAATTTAAGGAATTGTCAAAACTTCCGCGCTTTGCGTGAGAGGGGGAAACCGAATTCAGACAAGCATTATGAGTCGAGCACGGTTTAACGAATCGTCTACTTTCTCTTATAATTTAATGAAATGTCAAAGCTTCCGCGCTTCGCGCTAATGGGGTAAACTGAATTCAGAAATTAGGGTTTATTAAGAGTCGTAAACGTTACAACGAATCGTCTTTTTTCTCTAATAATTTAGTGAAACTTCAAAACTTCCGCGCTTTGCGCGGGAGAGGTAAACCGAATTCAAACAAGGATTAATAATCGAGCACGGTTTAACGCATCGTCTACTTTCTCTAATAATTTAATGAAATGTCAAAGGTTCCCCGCTTCGCGTGGGAGGGAGAGATACTGAATAAAAACAAGGATTAAGAGTCGAGCACGGTTCAACGAATCGTCTTTTTTCTCTAATAATTTAGTGAAACGTCAAAACTTCCGCGCTTTGCGCGGGAGGGGTAAACCGAATTCAAACAAGGATTAATAATCGAGCACGGTTTAACGCATCGTCTACTTTCTCTAATAATTTAAGGAAACGTCGAAGCTTCCGCGCTTCGCGCGGGAGGCCTATCACCAACACCCCCTAATGAGCGCGCTTAGCGCGCTCTTTAAGTGATTCGCTTGCTCACTACCGCCCCTTCCTAAATAAGATCCTAGTTCCGCGCCTGCATTAAAGGCAGACTGTCCTTATTATAGAGTTCTTCCCCAATCGGTGCCTGTTGGTCCCCCATGATCTCTTTTTCTTATGTTAAATGAGAGTCGAGTTAATGAGATAGCCACCTGTCAAAGTGACCTCGCTGGCTCGCTTGGTGGTCTAATCCACTCTGGCTGAAGTAGTAAAACCTGCCTTTAAAATATATAGCTATGATGCTGACTATTAAGTTGACGAAATAATTCGTATATTTATATCGTCGAGGAAAATGACCATTTGCGCATACGCAAGTACTATAGATAGTCCGTAGGAAAATTTAGCCTTCGGCCCCGGGTATATAGGGTAAAATTTGTAAATATTGGGACATTTAATTTTGTCGGTAATTGGGGGCTAGTTTTGTCGGTAATCGTTGGCCTCTACAACCCCCCCCCCCCCCCCCCACTGAAAAAGGTCTAGCGACGTCCCTGACAACATGCACCCATGACCATGATGAGGACATCAACGCCTCATCGTAACTTCAA